TGAGTGCGTTTTTTCCCTCCTGCTCTGGGGCGGCAGGGGGAGGGCCGGGCAGCCTCTGGACGGGCCGGCGGCGGGCAAGAACCGCAGCGACAGCAGCGCGCGGGAAGGGGGGGCGGCGGCGGCGCGAAGGCGCCCGCCCCACCCCCGCCCCCCACAGACGCCCCTCGGGTGTCTCTCCGTCCTTCCCTACCCCCCCGCCCCTCCTTCCCGCTACTTCCCTCATCACCGTCTCCCCTCGCCTCCCTCATGCCGACCTGCTTGTCTCTCTCTCTCTCTCTCGCTTTCTCTCTTTCTGTAGTTGTTTCTTTCTCTCTCTCTCTCTCTCTCTCTATATATACACATATGTATGCATATGCATGTGTTCTGTGTTTTGTGTGTTTGCTGATGTTGTGTCCCTCTCTCTCTCTCTCCCTATCCATCGATTGATATATCTGCCCTGTCTTCTCTCTCTCTATGCATTATATATACACACGTCCCTCTCGATACATGTATGTATACGTGTACATATAGTTGTGTATACGTATGTGTCTGATCAATGTAGATATGTATGTGTATGTGTCGCCCCCACCCCCCCTCTCTCTTTCTCTCAGTATATATAGATATATGTATGCATATATACCTGCCTGTCTCTCTCTCTCTCTTTTCTCTCTCTCTCTCTCTCTTTCCCTTCCTCTCTCTCTATATGTATGTCGGCCCCGATGTGTTTATGTATATACATCTCTCTCACTTTATGTATGCATGTTTGTTGTTTCTCGCTCTCTCTCTCTCTCTCTCTCTTTCTTTCTCTCTCTCTCTCTCTCTCCCTCTCGGCATACATATACGCCGCCGTGCCGCTGGCCGCGGAATGGGCGTGTCGCCAGGTCCTCTCACTACTCTAGCCCCAGTCCTCACCCCTGAAGAGTGATCGAAAGGTTCTGGGGTTTGCCGCGTGATGCCGCGCGACCGTTTCGGACCCAAGAGGGCCCCAAAACAGACCAAGAGGGCCCAAAGTAGCCCCCAAAACGGTCCAAGGGGACCCACGATGGCCCCCATGCGTTCCAAGAGGCCTCCAAGACGCCCCAAGAGGCCAAAATCAGCGGTTTTCCTGACCCTGGTGAAAGACATTGGCGTTCTCGACGTCTCGCCTTCCCGACGCTCCCAGGCGGCCCTGGCGGCCCCGAGGACCACCCCAAGACGGCCAACGGCGTGTGGTGAGGGTATGGGGAAAAGAGGAGGCGAAGGAGGAGGAGGAGGAGGAGGAATGAATGAATGAATAACTCGTGGAGTCCTGTACCTGCCTCTGTCTGACTGCCACAGCTCGCTGAAACAGAATTACAATCCAGAGAGAAGGACTCTGAGTCGGGTTGCTTCTGCACCCCCCAGACATCGTAGCGGATTCAACCAGCGCGCTCCGCTGGAAGCGGCACTGGCCCTACCTGCACCCCTATGGACGGGCACGCAGCCCTAGGGGGCAGGCTCCGAAGGCACGGGGGTCCCGTCCACACCACCCGTCCTCCCACGCCCAGAGCCCCACCGTTTCCCCTTGCCTTTGGAGCCCGCTTTACCTTTAGCTCTGGGGGCATATATAATTGGGGTCTGGGGCAGCGAGCCAGGAAGAGAGGAGGCAGCGGCATAGGTACAGAGCTGAGTGGGCGTATTAAGCACCTCAGGTGAAATTAGAGGAGGAGGAGGAGGAGGAGGCGGAGGAGCCCCAAGAGAGCCCCAAACCGACCCAAGATGCGCCACAGCGGCCCCCAAAAGGAGCCCCAGAGAGGGGGGGCGCGAGCCGCACGTCCGAGCCCTCCGCCCCAAGAGGCGCCGAGGAAGCCCCCAGAGGCGCCCAGGGGGCCCCAAGAGGCCCCCCAAATGCCCAAACGGGGGCCCAAAGAACCCCCCAAAGGGGCACCCAATGATGCCCCCAGACGGCCCCCGAGCCTCCGCCCCAAGAGGCGCCGAGGAAGCCCTCAGAGGCGCCCAGGAGGCCCCAAGAGGCCCCCCAAATGCCCAAACGGGGGCCCAGAGAACCCCCAAAAGGGGCCCCCAAGGATGCCCCCAGGCGGCCCCCGAGAGGGGTCCGAACTGCCTCCAAGAGGCCCCCGAGAAGCCTCCCACGAGATCCCAACGAAGGTCCAATAGGCTTCGTGCCCACAGCCCAAGCACGGTAGCGGGATGAGCCGAAGGGCATTTGATAATACGCCTATGCGACTACTTTTCTGGTGATCAGAAGGTTGGGGGGGCGGAGGAAGGAACCAGCTGCTGGCGAAGGCGGTGGGTGTGACGATGGCGACGCTGGTGAATCGCTTTGGGATTAGCGCTGCGGTGTAATGTCACGATCGTCCCCGTTTTCGGTATGTGTCGATCGACATGATCGATCACACCCGATCGATCTCATTCTAGATGTCGCTATCGATGTTACTAGGGATCTCATAAGATCTCACTGTAGATCTCGCTGTCAGTATCGATATCGATTCCTCGATGAGTCGCAATATCGATATCGCGATCGATATCGCAACGAATGCCTCATCAATCCACTTCGTTGTCGATCTCACTTTTGATGCCACTTTCTATCCCACTCCAGCGATCCGATTGTCGATCTCACGAATCGGCTTCAGTGCCGACACCAAGGCGGGACACCTCCGGCCGCCAACCGCCCACCGCCGACGGGACACCTACATGACATCAGCGGGACACCGCAGGACGCCCCAGCGGGACACCCCGGCGCCCTGGGCCACCGCGCGCCCACCAGGCGGTGTGGCGGCCCGCTGCGTCCGAATCTCCATGACGACCGCGGGGTCATTCCCCTCGCGCGCTCACGCGACTTCGTTCCGCCCGCGCGCGCGATGCGAAAACGAAACCGGAATAGATTTCCCGGCGGGGGGCTCCGATCCACTGCGATCTCACCCCCCAGCCTCCAATGTGTATATATGTATACACATACATGCATACATAAATACATACATACATTCATTCATACATTCATTCATACATTCATACATGCACGTATGCATGCATACACGCAGATGTGTATATATATAGACATATACATACATATGTGTAAATATATACACATACACAAGCTTATACACACATGCATACATTCACGTACATATGCATATACATATGAATATATGCATGCGTTCTGTGTATACAGGTAGTGTATGGCTTTATCTCCCTGTCTCCGTGTGTGTATAAATCTATATATACGCCTCGCTCGGAATACACAACTATGTGTCGTCGTGTGTCCCTCTCTCTTTCTACCTATATGTTACACCCCTCTCCGCACAGATCGACCCGTGCTTTATACAGGACATGTATACGCATATGCATGCAAGTGTCAGGTGGCACTGCGACAGTGCCGCGAAAAGGTTGTACAGCGCGCTGCCGCCAGAGGGCCCTGTGTAGCTGCAGCGCGACAGTGCTACAATGCTGCAGCGCGACAGTGCTGCAGCGCTGCACTGCTCTCGCCTCGGATCAACGCCACCAGCGCACATCGGGTCAGGCACCGGGGGGCGCAGTCCCTCTGGGGCAGGAAGGGAGGCAAGGCGGAAGAACAATACGAGCACTGGCCGGATAAACAGGAGCCGGAAGGGGTGGCAAGCGGAGGGGGACCAGGACGGAGAGCAGCTTGGGGCTGGAGAGCGTCTATGGGAGTTGAAGATTCCTTGGGTTCTCCAGGTCTTTGGCTTCTAGGGGGGAGGGGGTCGGAGGGGGATGAGGAGGGTGGGGGGCAAACGCGACGGGAAGGAGGCAAGGACGATGAGGTGGAGGGGTGCTCAGTGTGGGGGAAGCGGGGAAACGCGAGGAGACGAGAAGGGTGAGGAAAATTCATCCCTCCTCGCCCGCCTCATGCCTCCACCTCCTCCGCCTCCCTTCATCCCCCATTGCAACGAGAGAACATTCGAGGTCAACTACTGGACCCCAGGGAAAACAATCCGAACTGTCGTTACAGGAACGCCGCCAGCGACCTCCCCCCTACCACACCCTGCAGGCCGTTCAGGGGCCGCGAACAAGGTAAGCATCGATCAGACGAGGGAACCAATAACCAGTGTAGCTTCGATCCACTGCATGTCTGCCGGCCGACCTCTGTTTCGTCCGATCGGCCACGATTGAGCAGCCGACCCACTGTCGTACGGATGCCTTCTGGCACCTCCTAACAATCCCCCGAGCCAATCTTCGCCTCTGTCCCCATACATCTTCCTCATCCACCCGCTCCTCCACCTCTTCCTCTATTTCCCATCCGCGCTCTCCTCCTCCTCCTCCTCCTCCTCCTCCTCCTCCTCCTCCTCCTCCTCCTCCCCCTCGTAATCCCCATCCCCCACCCTCTCTTACCCTCGTCCCTTTCCCTCCCATCCCGCCCCCCAGCTTCCTTGTTCTTCATCCATGTCGAGCTCCCCCTGTTCCTCCTCCTCCTCCTCCTCCTCCTGCTCCTGCTCCTGCTCCCTCCTCCCATACAACCTCTCCTCGCCTCCTGTTCCCCCTATCGATCTCCAGCTCTTTCCCACCCGCTTTCCCCTGTTCCCCCATCATGCCTCCCACGTCGTGGTGGTCTGGGTCCGAGGTCGAACATCTGGGTCCGAGGTCGAACATTTGCTTCATGACGCGAGGTGGTCTGAGTCCGAGGTCGAACATCTGACCTTGTGCCTCTCCAGGGTGCTTTGTGGATTGGATGTCGAGGCCGAATCATATGTGGCGACGGGGAGCTTTGGAGACACAAGGGCGCCAGAAAACATCCCAAACCTCTGACAGCTTGATCCCCGATCTCTATCGATCCAACATTGGGCCTGTCCTCTCGGCTGTACCGAAGGCCAGGAAGACGGGGGTTAGCTCATCATGGCCCGAGGCGCGTTGACGGAAGAGGGGGGGGGGGCATGGGGAGACGGAGACAATTCGAGCCTCCGATGCTGGACCCAGGATATGGACTAAACCAGACCAGGATCGGTGAGGTGGTCAGTTGGCCCCCCGATCCAAGGCCAGGCGGAAGAGGAAGAGGCAGAGGAGGTTGAGAACGTAGGGGCGCCGTCCTGGCAGCTCGCGTACAGCCTGTCGTCGGAGGATGCCTGGCCGTCGCGGTCGGTGGGGACCTGTCGGCCGCCCAGGGGCAAGCGAGCGAGCGGCGTCCCTGGCGAGAGGCCCCGAGGCGACCAGCGTGTCAACGCCGACGCCCTTCCTTCATGGCGCGGCCCCCCTCTCTGGCGCGCGTAGCGCACCAGGGGCGGCGGCGGCGGCGGAGGCGCTGCCAGGGGGGGCCCAGCGCAGATCAACCAACAACTCCGCGCGGACCTCCGAAAGTCGATGCAGATGCATGCATGTATGTATGTAGGCATGCAGTGAGTGTTATTAGTATTCGTATCAGTAGTAGCATGGTTATTAGTGCCGTTCGTCTTATTATTCGTGTTCTTATCATTATTATGTTTCTTCTTATTACTTTCTTCCTCCTTCTTCGTCTCCATAATCCACCGATGCGCCATCGCATGGCTGCGCTCCGCGCGGGGCACGCGCGCGGCGAAGAGCCGCCCGCGCGGCCGAGGAGCCCCGGCCGCGGGGGTGGCCGCCCCCCCTCGCAGGGAACAGGCAAGGCGTAAGTTGGGCCTGTCCCCCTACAGGGGGTCCTCGACGAAGAATTAAAGATACCCCCAAAATGGTCCAACAGTACCTCAAAGATAGTCTGGGGACTATGTTTTGACTCTTGTTTTACCTTTTTGGTGCAGTTGTGGGGTATTATTTATTGTTGCGGGGTATTCGTGGGGTATCGTATATTTTGGTGTATTTTTGTGTATTTGTGGCGTATTTGTTGTACCTGTTTGGTGTTTTGTGTGTTTTTCTGCATTTTTCGTCGAAAATCCCACTGTAGGAGGACAAGCCCGACCTACGACGAGGCCCCCGGGCGCGCCGGCCACGCGCGGGTCCCCTGCGAGAGCCCCCCGCTGCGGCACGAGCGGCTTGCGCCGGGGGCGGAACAGGGGCACACCCTCTAAGGGGGGCAACGGGAAAGTCGGGAAGGAGGAGGAGGAGGAGGAGGAGGAGGAGGAGGAGGAGGAGGAGGAGGAGGAGGAGGAGGAGGAGGAGGAGGAGGAGGAGGAGGAGGAGGAGGAGGAGGAGGAGGAGGAGGAAGTGACGCGCCTTGCGGGGGAGTCGGGAAGGGGGAGGAGGAGGAGGAGGAGGAGGAGGAGGAGGAGGAGGAGGAGGAGGAGGAGGAGGAGGAGGAGGAGGAGGAGGAGGAGGAGGAGGAGGGAGGAGTGACGCGCCTTGCGGGGGAGTCGGGTTGGGGAGGAGGAGGAGGAGGAGGAGGAGGAGGAGGAGGAGGAGGAGGAGGAGGAGAGGAGGAGGAGGAGGAGGAGGAGGAGGGGGAGGAGGAGGAGGAGGAGGAGGAGGAAGAGGAGGAGGAGGGAGGAGGAGGAGGAGGTGACGCGCCTTGCGGGGTTGAGGGGGGCAAGGGGGAGTCGGGAAGGCTTCTCAGAAGGTGGCTGCTTCTCAGACGGCGCATGCCGTACATCTACAGACAAGGCTCGCGCCTTCTAAGAAGCAGGGATGCCTCTGAGAAGCCTCTCCCCACCCCTATCCCCCTCTCTGCGCGCCGCCGAACAACTGACACGTCCCCGCGGTGCTCGCCTCGGTTCCCGCTCACATGGAAGAATACCATACTGCACAAACACAAACTTTCGGAGGTCCGCGCGGAGTTCCTGGGTCCATGCCGAGGGCGGCGCCAGAGGCACCGCCAGGGCGGTCAATGGAATTTCCGAGAATTCCGCGCGGACCTCCGACCATCTATGTTTCTGCACATTCTTCTTGTTCGGAAATGACGCCCTCAATTATCCTGGCGAAGGACCCAACCATATGTAATTGTGAGCAACGCGTTGTGGGTGCCACTTCCGGTAGGCCACGCAATGCGTGATGGGGCGTGCCGTAATGGGTGGGGGGGCGCATGCGGGCGGTGCCACTGGGGCCTTCGGTGGAGCTCCTTATGGGGCCATGACGCGCTGTAGTGGGTTGTGGAGGCGCATGCGGGCGGTGCCGCTGGGGCCTTCGGTTGAGCCCCCACATGGGGCCACGAAGCGCTGTACTGGGTGGGGGGGACGCATGCGGGCGGTCCCGCTGTGACCTTGGCTGGAGCTCCCTATGGCGCCACGAAGCGCTGTACTGGGTGGGGGGGACGCATGCGGGCGGTCCCGCTGTGACCTTGGCTGGAGCTCCCTATGGCGCCACGACGCGCTGGACTGGGTGGGGGGGCGCAGCGGTGCCACTGGGGCCTTCGGTGGAGTTTCCTATGGGGCCGCGAAACGCTGTACTGGGTTCACTGGGACCTTCGCTGGAGCTCCCTACGGGGTCGCGAAGCGCTGTAGTGGGTGTGGCGGACGCATGCGCGCAAACCTTACTGGGACCTTCGGTGGAGCTCCCCGTGGGGCCACGAAGCGCTGTAGTGGGTGTGGCGGACGCATGCACGCAAACCTTACTGGGACCTTCGGTGGAGCTCCCCGTGGGGCCACGAAGCGCTGTAGTGGGTGTGGCGGACGCATGCGCGCACCCCCACTGGGGCCGTCGGTGGAGCTCCCTATGGGCCTGCGAAACGCCGTAGTGGGTGTGGAGGGCGCATGCGGGCACCCCACTGGGGCCTTCGGTGAAGCTCCCTATGAGGCCACGAAGCGCAATACTGGGTGTGGCGGACGCATGCGGGCACCCCACTGGGGCCTTCGGTGGAGCTCCCTGTGGGGCCACGAAACGCTGTATTGGTTGTCATGCGAGCACCCCCAGTGGGGCCTTCGGTGGAGCTCCCTATGGGACCACAAAACACTGTACTGGATGTGGCGGACGCATGCGCGAACCCCTACTGGGGCCTTCGGTGGAGCTCCTTATGGGGTCACGAAACGCTGGACTGGGTGGGGCGGGCGCATGCGGGCGGTGCCACTGGGGACTTTGGTGGAGCTCCCTATGGGGCCACGAAGCGCTGTACTAAGTGGGGCGGACGCAGATGGGCACCCCCCACTGGGGCTTTCGGTGGAGCTCCCTATGGGGCCACGAAACGTGTGAGGGGTGTGCCACAGTGAGGGGGATGACGGGAGGAGTGAGGAGGGGGGGGAGGAGGAGAGGAGAGAGGAGAGGAACGCGGGGACCGCCACTTCAAAACAGGGACCCAACACCACAGGATGGTTGGGAAGAACACAGCGACGACACGGGGGAGAACCGGGGACGCGCTTACCCAGGTCGGCGCCGACCCCGCGCAAGCCGGTCACGAAGTACAGTCGGGCTGCCGAAACAGGGAACGATGAATACGGAGCGCGGTCCCTGTCTGGCCCCCGCAGCACCTGGGTGCACGAGGAGCGCCAGAGAAGCAGCCAGGGACGAGGAGCGCGAGGACCCGGGGAACACCGAGCCCCTTCCGGACCGAACCCGTTCCTTGCTCCAGCGCCCTGGCCGCAGCCCCCGAGCCCGGGGTCGGCGGAGGGCGGGGAGCAGAGGCTGGCTCCACGCGGGGCCCGGACAGGGGAACAAAACGTGGCACAAACATAAAAACTCGGAGGTCCGCGCGGATTTCTTGGATCGGCGCTGGGGCCCCGCGGCGGCGCCTCCGGCGCCGCCCCTGGCGTGCTCCGCGCGCCAGGGAGCGGGGTCCAGCGCCGATCCGAGAAATCCACGCGGACCTCCGAGTTTTTATGTTTATGCCACTTTTTGTTCCCCTACAGGCGCACGTGGGTCAGCGATTGGGAGGAGCTCGGATGGCTCGCATCGTCTCACCGCACACGCGTCGGATGCGCCTCCTGCCGTCGGCCGGGGCCGCACCTCGAAAGTGCCCCTCGCCCACTGTCTCGGCATGAGTCCGTGAGACGGCTGTGTCTCGCCACGGATGAAGATGCCCGACTTGGCCGACGTGGCCTCAGTGAGAAAATGAAACACGCATGCGACAGCGAGCCGCGAGGAACTGAGAGGACTAAAAGAGACCAAAGGCAGATGGAGAAGCCCGCAAGGGTACGCAAGTGTCTCGTCACCTCCCCATCCTCCTCGAGCTGACGACACCTCCTCCGGACTGTCCTCCTCTTTGGGGTGCCCAAGCTTGGATCCGTGAGATCGCTACGTCTTGTCACAGGGAGAACATGAAGTACCCGACTTCGGCAATGTGGGCCTCAGAGCTCACAAAGAGCTTGTATGCAACAGCTAGCGCAAGAAACTGCGAGGCCAAGGGATGAAAACAGTCAATGGAGAAGCCCAGAAGGTTACGTAGGTATCTCGTCGCCTCTTCCTCCTCCTCCTCCTCCTCTTCCTCAAATTGATCGCACCTTCTACTGCGTTCCCGCAAGCCTGGGCCCCGTAGTCGATCTCCTGGTCGGTGATGTTGACCTCCAGAAGCCGCCGGGGGCGTCGGTATGCCACCGGCAGACATCGTCATCGCCGCCGCCGTCGCTTCGGGCGACATCCACCGACCCTGGCCAGAGCGATCCTGGCCAGAACGATCCTGGCCGTCGCTTCAACGATCCTGGCCGTGCAAACTTGGACTAGCGATCTGTGGACTCGGCGCGCGGTCGCCACATCCATGGATCGGGGGAGGTGCCCTCTCCAGAATGTGGCCGGTGCCGCCTCGCTGGGCGGCGGAAGTCCGCGCTTTCCCATGGCAGCGGGGCCGTCGCTAATCCGAGGAGGGCGAGGGAGGAGGACGAGGAGAAGAAGAAGGGCGATGGAGGAGGAACGCGAGGGAGGCGGAGGATGAGGATGATGATGATGATGAGGAGGAGGAGGAGGAGGAGGAAGAGGAGGAGGATTAGAAGGATTAGGAGGGGGAGGAGGAGGAGGAGAAGACGGAGGAGGAGGAGGATTAGGAGGAGGAGGAGGAGGAGAAGGAGGAGGAGGATAAGGAGGAGGAGGAGGAGGAGGAGGAGGAGGAGGAGGAGGAGGATTAGGAGGAGAAGGAGGAGGAGAAGGAGGAGGAAGAAGACGCGAGGGCCCTCAGCTGCTTCCCAAGTACTCGGGGGAGTCCGGCGGGGTCTGGCCCTCGCCGCCACCCGTGGGGCTCCTCGTGCGCCCCCCGCCGGGTCGGGGGGAGGCTTCGCCCTCGGCGGCCCCCCGGTGGGCAGCTCGTCGGCCTCCCCGTGCGGGGGCCGGCTGCCGAGGTTGTCGCGCCGTCGCCACCCCGTGGGGCTCCCCGTGCGCCGGCCGGGTCGGGGGGAGGCTTCGCCCTCGGCGGCCCCCGGTGGGCAGCTCGTCGGCCTCCCCGTGCGAGGGCTGGCTGCCGAGGCTGTCGCGCCGTCGCCACCCCCGGTGAGCGCTCCGTGCCCGACATGGATCGCACCACCTCGACTTCGGTCGGGTCTGTCCCCCCTAGGGGGGGAATTTGGGGCGAGAGCTGGCTGCCGAGGTCGTCGCGCCGTCGCCACCCCCGGTGAGCGCTCTGTGCCCCACATTGGTCGCACCACCTCGGCTTTGGTCGGGTCTCTTTTATTTTTTCGGTGAACCTGCGGCCCCCAAGCGGAACCCTAAGTGACACTTGAAATCACACTCGGTGCTCACAGAAATGACAGCCGAAGTGTCAACGAAAGATCATGCATCACCCGCCTAGGGGGACAGACCCGACTTTGGTCGGGCCTGTCCTCCTCGGGGGGGGGGGATCTGGGGCGAAACGTAAAGCATGGCCAAGCACTGGCCCAACACAGATGCAAAACTGACACAAGAGAAAGTCCCCAGGCTATTGTTTCACTATTTTTGAATGTTCCTCCTGAAGAAGGACATGCCCGACTTAGACCTAGACTGTAATTGCACCTCGTATGCTCTACTACCCTGCAGGAAATAATCGGATGTACCCCCGTGCCACGACCCGCCTTCATGGTAAACCTCAGCAGGTGGACCTATAGGGTGCAATCTGCACGACAGCCCATCCGAAATATGGATTCATACCACCCCCGCCAGCCCAATTCTCGACCCACCCACACAATCCCCCCGTCAAATTATTCTATGCGCAACAATCGCTTTGATCTCATAATTGCATGCCTGATGGTTTCGTAACAAATGATGCAAAGCGGATCATGCGCGCACATGACACGATTCGTCTCAAACCATTGCTTCCAAATCATGTTATGCACCAGCCATCAGATACCTGTGGCTGCTCTAGAGACAAGCTCCCAGGTTTCTGTGCGCGCGGACTTGCGGGCGCTGGGCTTGCCTAGCGTAAGGTCAATTGCTTTTTAGTATCAGTCTCAATCCTCCTCCGTGCCCTCCAATCACACCAGCCCTCCGGGCGTAGGTGGTCTAGAGCGCTTCCTCTTCCGGACCCCCTTCTTTCCCCTTCAAGGAGGGTTCACCCCTCACCCCTTACCCTCTCCCTTGGCCTTGAACTGAAAGTTTCGCAAGGGTTTCGCGCGTCCAATATGGCCCAAGACGGCTCCAAGAGCGCCTCGGAGAGCCCAAGATGACCTCCAAGATGGCTCAAGATAGCGCAAGATGCCTCAAGATAGCTCCTAAGATGCTCCAACCAGCCCCAATAACGCTCCAAGACGGCTCCAGGTGGCCAAGGAGCCTCCCAAGGAGGCCGCCACGAGGCAAACATCCTTCCGAAACCTGCGGAAAATCAATGCATTGTGCCTTCTCGCCTTCGTCGATGGCCTTCCGAGACCTCAAGACAGCTCCAAGAGGGCCCCAAGAGAGGTTCAAGGGAGCCCTACGACGGCCCCAAGAGCGCTCCAAGAGGGGTCCGAGAGGCGCGATGTTCGGCATGCTCGAGGGGCAGTGCTAATTGCGACCCTCCCTTTCTTCGATCGATGCCATCCGACTCCCTCCTCACCCCCTCCTCCCCTCACTCTCCCCTGCGCCCCGTCATCGTCATCGTTGACATCGTCGCTCTGGTCGCTCTGGTAGACGCCCTCGTCCCCTCGCCACGAGCCTGGATGACCACGTGGTCTTCGACGCCACCAACGGCATTCTTGAGCGTGGCGACCTTGAGGAGAAGAGGAGACAAAGCGTACTTCCGCACTGCCGAACTTCCCAACTGCCTGAACTCAACAAGTCTACGGGCAACGACCTTGCGACCAAACAAACGGCTCGGAACATCAATAGGTATTGCTGCAGTGCTGCCTCTCTAGATGGTGTATACTGTCAACCACAATGTATCAACAATTTTCTGTCTAACTAGCAATCGATCGTACCGCCGTCATTCTTGCCACGGGACATTCACGGGACAAGCGCATCAACCTATCTAGCAGTATCCGCCACCGTGCCACCTGTCGCATTGAGCGGCGGCAGGATGTATGCATTCTCCTACGGGACCCTACACTTGCACGGATGAGATGCAGCTCCTTTACCATACGAAGCTCTGTCCTGAGACTTCCGCAACCCCATACGACCAGCAACACTTACACGTATGCAGGGCGGTTCCCTGGGTCTGTCCCTGGAGACACTTCCTTGAACTTGATGGCCCCGCCTTGTCGCTGCACGGGCAGACCCTCGCAGGAAGGGCAGACCCTTGCGGGCGCAGGAGGTGGTCGCCTTTCAAGGTGGCCGCGCTTTGCGCATTGAGACATAATCATTGTAGTGATGTCTGAGGAGCGGCCTTCGGACGGGAGGTTGTGTTGCAGCATCGCTGATGCATCTTCGCTTTACTCCGGTTCCCCCTCTTCGCCCCCCATGCCCGCCCCCCTCCTCCCTCCGTCCTTCTCCGCCCCATCCTGATGCCTCCTTCTACAGTCTCCAGTGCTTCGCTGACGGTCGCCCCATACCTGATGAGCTTGGACCCTCATCAAGCCTAGGCCTACGGCGCGCTTTGCTCGGGGGGACGTGGTGGGGTAGGGGCAGAGGTGGGGTTAGAGGAAAATAGTTCAAAACGGCCCGTGTGAAAAGGAAAGGTGAGTATCCAGCTGGGTCTGTTCCCTACCCCCACCTTGGCAGAAATCCCCTCCGTCTAAGAACTCCCGATTGGCAATTCGCCCCCCCCTCCCCCTCTCCCCCCCTCCCCAGCCATCCGGCGCTCCGAGTGCTTCCTTGCGTGGGCCCTCAGTGGAGGCCTGGAGATGTGCACCAACACCAACACAGGGGGCTGCCTCCACAGGGGGAAGACGATCCTCGATGTCGCTGTTGGTGGTAATGTTTCGGTCGCCCTGGAAACCAGAATATGACCACCGTCGCCGAGATCGGGATCTGAGCCTGTTTTTTTGGTAGACTCTGGCAAGTTTACTTGCATGGACGGGGGGGGGCTGAGCCTGAAGCAAGCCCGGGGGGAGGGGGGGGGCGCGGAAATCGCGCAAGTCGAAAGGCACTTGCACGCTAGTATTCGCTTGAAGAGGGGCGAGGGGGGGGGGGGGGGGGGGCGAACGCCATGCAAGTAAACTTGCCTGAGTCAACAAAAAAAACAGGCTCCTTCCCTCGGTGAAGGCACGCCGCCGACCTCGGTGACGGTGTCCACCTCCGGGCCTGCGACCCCGAGACCTCTCGACCGTCGCCGAGATCGGGACCTTCTTCCCTCGCCCTGGAAGGCAGAATATGACCACCGCCGCCGAGATCGGGACCTTCTGCCCTCGGTGGAGGCACGCCGCCGACCTCGGGGACGGTGTCCACCCCCGGGCCTGCGACCCCAAGACCTCTCGACCGTCGCGCGACGGGCTGGCCCTCCGCGAGCCTGCCGGCCCCGAGCGGGCCTCCCTCTGGAGGCCCGAGGCCCAGCCGCCCTGGGCCCCCGGGAAGACCGGAGAGGAGGAGGAGGAGGAGGAGGAGGAGGAGGAGGAGGAGGAGGAGGAGGAGGAGGAGGAGGAGGAGGAGGAGGAGGAGGAGGAGGAGGGAGGAGGAGAGGAGGAGGATTTTTTGGCACCGAGGGCTCCAATGAGCTCAAAGGGGAGGGGGAAGAGGGGGGGGGAAGGACTCCTCCGCTGCAGGCGGGGCGGGCCTTGGCCTTGTTGAAAGCCTTGGCCCGCGCGCTCGCGCCTTGGCCTTCGCTCCAGCTTGCAGAGATTCTCGGCCCCCTTCTTTGAGAGGGGGCCACAAGGCTGGGCCAGCAGCAGGATCGATCGGTCCATACCGAGGCCCCCGCATGTAGTGCACGCCCAGCAGTCGGCGTGCTTAAAAAAAACGGGCGGCGTGGGACGGGTGGACAGTCTGATTCCCGATCTGGAGCGGGGCGGACCTGGAGGAGGAGGGGGCAGCACCATAATCAATGGGGTTGCACGGGGTCGAAAGCCAATCCGCAACCCCCTCCTTGGAGGGCTTCTGGTGGCACGACCTGCAACTAAACCGCGATTCCAAAAACTGAAGACCGTTCTTATGCGGGAAACTCTGGACCGCTTTCCCTAACTTACTCAGGCCAGCTTTCCGAACTCCGTTGAAGGGCTTAGCCCTCTCTCTCTGACTGCGACTGTCATGAGGGGCAGTAGCAATGAGAGTGAAAGCAAGACGGAGACGGACCTGCTCGGCGAGAGCGTCGAGAGCGATACCACTCTGGGTTGTGTCAGGGCCAATCTGGCACATCCCAGCTTCCCAATCGGCGATCCGATCGGCCTCGACATTCGCAAGACGAAACAGCTCGGGGAGACCAATTGCGCGGTGTCTGTCCTCGCTCACATGGCTCTCGACCTTAATTAAAGTGATCCCTCGGGCCCTGGTTTCGGCGACGTGGGCCAGGGAAAACCACAAATCGAGGTTAGACTTGGGCATGCCGCCCGCCAGAAGTCTGAACCAGCCTCGGACAACGTAGGCCGAGTCACACAAAAATGTCAAATCGTCCGAAACTTGCTGCACGCAATCGAGGAGAGCCCAAAGCTCAGCTCTGTTGGAAGTCTGCCTACGACCAGCCAGGGGGCGCTCCTACGACGCACGACCTCCGCTTCCAGAGACCTCGGGTTGAGCTCGACCCACGCCCAGGCACATCTCTGAAGCCTTCGGTCCTTAGCATTCGCACCCCCAGACCCGTCACCCGCGAACAGACGTCCCACCACTTCAGCTGGGGGCTCGCTACCTCCGTGGGTCGCAACACCGCTTGCTTCAACGGGTGGGTAGGTCACGTCGTGCAGCTCAACTGCGTCGGGGGGGTCGGGGATGGACGCGAGGTTGGAAGGGATCATGCCTCGGAGCCAAAAACAAACATTTGAATTCTGATCGAGGGCAGTTACGGCAGCCTCAACCACGTCTTGCATACCTTGACACTCTGGAAGGTCAGCGCTGCACGGGCATTGCCAAACTCGATGGCGGAGGCGTTCGGGGGCCTCTCCACATCTAGGGCAAGTGGGGTCGAAATCCTGCGCAACACAACACTCTGCAATGCGCTGCCTGGGCCGCATACCTGCCGCTGCGGCACATTCAACTGCAGCTCTGGTCTGGAACTCTTGGGCTTTATCGAGCCTAGCGAGCTGCTGCCTTAAGCTGAACAAATCGACACCCTCCTCCATCCCGCCTCCCAAGTGCTGGGTGGGCGCGCCTGCCCACAGCTTGACCTCCACAGTCTCGCGGGCGGCGGCCAGCAGGTCGGAGGGGTCGTACGAAGAGAGAAACGTGCGGAGAGAGGAGAGGTCTTGGACCGGGGCCTCCCAGCGCTCGTCAAATGGGTCGCGCCACTCGAAGAGCCCAGGAGTGTCCCATCCAAGCGCAAGGAGGGAGGTGATGATAGCAGACAGGGGGCCTCGGATTCGGAACCACCTGCGATTGGCTGGGATGGTGGCGACACGGCTATAAATCTTCCTCCAAGCATCTTGGAGGCGGCCGATCGGGGCACCGTCCATTCTCAAATAACGGAACCACTCCACCAACATATCTATAACAGCGACAACCGCAGGGTCCCTGGATCCGAACCCGAGGGCCAAAACAGTCGTGAGACACCTGCCTTGCTTTTGCTCCCAGACGGCGCGGGCGGCGGACTGCCGCAGCTTTTGCAGCCGACCTGGGGCCACCCCAAAAAGTTTGGATTTGTACATGGCATGCGGGACAGCACCTGTTTTAAAAAGCTTGCGGCGGATGCGTTGCTTGAGAGAACGCAAGCTGGCTATGCGGCTGCCTCTCCGAACTCCTTTACGCCACCTTTGGAGACCGCGGGTGCGGCGACGATTAACATTGCGGCCTCTGTCGATGCCGAGGTCGGGGGCGCTACCTGAAACCTGCGCAGTGATACCTGCCCTAGCGAGCTCAGCTCCCACTTCTTTGGCGATGAGCGGGGATGAGGCAATGATGCAAGACTTGCTGGAAAGAGACAAACGTAGGTTATCTAGACGGACTTTGAATTCACGCACAAACTCGACTGTACTGGATGTGACCTGCTGGGCTGCGCCTACAGCCCTGCTGTTCACGTCGCCCACCCACGTGCGTGCCTCAAGCCCTTGTTGAAACCGAGAGTTGACCTCAAACATGAGGTCCATCAGCGCGCAAGCCGCCAAATGCTGGGCCGACCTGCATCCAGCGAGCAACGCCCACCACGGGAGGATGGCATCCGAGAAAGAACGCAAACTCAGCAAAAATCTGGGGGCGCGGTGCAACTGGATACTAAAGGCGAGCACGACGCAAGGGTAAGTTTGCTTTATACAGACTTATAATACCAAAAGGGGGTCTAAACTGTCATAAAAAAAAACTATCAACGTCTAAAAGGGCAGGTGCGGTGGTTACTTGAAATTCGTAGGCGCTCTCGTCTAGCACAAGCCTGCGCAGGGCAGCTTGGGCGGCAGAGCTGCCCCTGACAGCGTCATCAAACCTGGCTTTGCGCTGCCTGTCAAGGGCCCACTGGTCAGTGCATTCACCGCGCATCTGCTCCCAGGACCGCGCCGCATATGCGAAGCTGGCCATGCTACCGTCGGCTCCAGAATCTTTAGGCAGGATGGCAACCCAAGCCTGTAGCATTTGCCGCGGCCGCGCGATGGAAGCTTCCATCATGTGAAAAATAGCCAGGAGCTCCGACCGAGCGGAAGGCGGCAGCCTTGAAATATCGCGAGCACTGATGTTGATACAGCCACGTGACTTGCGCTCAGGAGT